GGAGCTTTGTAGTCTCAAGCGCTGTGAGTGGCTCGTGTCCAATTGAACCGTGTCCAACTGGGTGCCACCCGAATCAGACTATGCATTAAAGGTTGAGATTGAAGATTAAAGATTGAAATTTTATCAATAAAGACAAAGAAATTTTCGCTTCTTTTGTTCTGATTGGTCAAACTTCAATCTTTCAATCTTCATTCTTATTCTTCAATGCATAGTCTGATTCGAATTCGGCCTTAATGTGGTCAAAGTCTCGCTACTAAATGCTTTGAAGCAAGACTTTGATGGACCAATTAGAAGAAAGAATTTTACAAACTGACCAATTAAAGCGTTGACCGTATCCTCTGAGTCTTGTAAATGGTACCAGATTGTCCACGTCGCCTATTGGTCAATTCTAACTTCCTGATTAATTTAATAGAAAAAAAACTACATAATATTTAAATTACAATTAATTTAAAAATGACTATCAAATGAATGATTTCGCAAACTTCTTTATGAATTATTTCATTACTTGTATTTTATATGAAGATTTTTAAAATGCAATTAAAAATGGTTCGACAGTGATCGAATTAATTAATCAGCTATATCGGTTAACTTCATAGTATAAGAATAATAATCGATTAAGTTAAAATTATCTTTTAATTATATTTCAAAAATCTTAAATTCATACAAAATACAACTTATAAGAAAATAGTTTAAGAAATAATTCATTGTTGATTAATTTCATACGAATAAACTTGATATGACTTGATATTTACACATAAGTTAAAAAATATTTAATTTAAATATCCAAACGATTATAAAATCCTTTGAATTATGTACTTTAAAACTCTTCATACACAAAATACAACCAATTTCAAAAACTTTGTTTACTATATGTCAACTACATAAAAAAATAAAATTATAATTAATTTAAACATTCTGGATGACTTTGCGTCAAATTTTGTAAATTATATATTTTTTCCAAAATTCTCATTATTTACTTTTTAATTACATCTTAAAAGTCTCTATACAATTCGATATCATAAATCGTTTAAGAATGAAAACAATAGTCGACGAAGTTCATACGAATATACGGTGAAATTCTATTTTCGAACGCGCAGCCCTGGCCTGAAGTCTCGAGTCCCGACGGCATTGGACGACATCGTCGGCCGGTTGGCCGCCCTGGGCGATGTGATCGGCGGTGGTGCACAACAACACAGTGGCCCGGCGACAGGGCGCGCGATGCGCGTGTGTGTGTGTGCACCAGTGTACATGCGTGTGATGCGATGCGTCGAAAAGCGGTCATATAAATAAACAGGGAGCCTGCGAACGATCAGCATTCGCGGGGCCTGTCACGGTCTCGGTCGGTTGGACTTGGCGGACGGTCCGGAGTGACAAAGGCGGCTGCTGTGGCGTACCGTTGCTCCCTCCCCGACCACCCCGCGCCCCTTTGGTGTCCTTCAACCGAAGATGTCATCGCCTACACAAGTGGTAAGAAGACGTGGTTGCGATAGACGGTGATAAGACAGTTTACGCCGATAAAGGCGGATCTTCTTCCGTAAACACTTGTTAGTTTTATTTTGTTTTATTTTATTTTGTATTTTATTATTATTTATTTTGTATTAAAAATTGAAATCGTCTCAATTGCCGCTTTCGCCGCACCGTCGCCGTTCGATTTAAATCGAGAGAAGCTGCTGCTCTGCTGCTGCTGCTGCTGCTGCTGCTGTTTTTTGTTTTCCCCCTTTGTATGAATCACGTATTCGTTATTCTCTGCCCCTTTGTCAGAACGCGAGCGGTATATTCGCGTAAAAATAGAATTTATTGAATTAATCACAATAAGTAACCACTCGCGTGGTGGTTGAAACTGATAGATAAATATTCGATTTATATATACTTGTAACGTCGTGACATTATGTATGTCTAAAGTGTATTATTGTACACGCGGAAAAATTATCGGAGCATCGTCACAGACAGCGACTGTATTTTACGGAAAGAATTATTTTGAGAGAAGTCGTCTAATTTTCAACGAATATATAATACTCGCGATTCTCCGGATGAATTGTAGACACGCGGTTACAATTATGTTAATTAAAACGATTTGCATCCTTCTTGGGAAGCAAAAACAGAGGACTGCGCATCGCATTTTTTGTGGTGCCCGTACAAAGATTGAATGAAAATTGAGATAATTATTTATAATTTACATACATTTCGTATTTACATTTCACAATAAACATTTTTTTGTGCCGATATAAAAATTTTATTTTTTATTAGTTTAAGCTGCATTGAAAACAATTCATATAAATTTACATGGAAATTACACACGTTTACGACTGGAAAATTATCTAAATATGATTGAAAATTTACTGGAAATCGTTAAATATAGACATATTTATAACGTTTATATTTTGCAATTGAAATATATATAATAATTAAGTATAAGTAATAATAAAAATTATTTTTTAATAATTTTGCATTATTTTGTAAATTAAAACTCTTCCTGTTTTGTAAACTAAATTATTCCTTTCCAATGTTTCAAATGACCGGATAACTAAATTACTAATCATCAAGTCGTAACATTAATGATTCACAAAATACAAACGGAAATTACAAAGTACAAACAGTCAGAACCAAGAATTTCCGCGTTACGTGTATCCTGTTGGAAATATCTTAAAGATCAATCCAATGCAATCGTTACAATAGAATGCTATTAGAGAAAACTACCATATTGGCATAAAGTGATTACTCTATATCAAAGACCATTGTGCATCCTGACGGTACCAGTATTAGATAATATACTATCTTGTAACTGGCTGGATTAGGTCGATGATTAGGCCTCAGTGACTGCGGATAAATCTAGTTCAAGCATGCACTGTCGTTAAATAGATTTCATGGATAAAGAGTGGCTTATCAGAAAACATTTTTTATTGAACATTTGAATATTTAATAATTAATATATGTAATTATTTTTTCCTTTAAAAAATTAATATGTTTTAAACGTTAATAAATATATAAATATGAAGAATTTTACAATAATCTCGTATTAAGTTGCTGTTAATAATAATGTGTGATTATAAATTAAAAATTAATTTGTAATCGCCATTTATTTAAACAAATTAAAAAAAATAGAATTAATCTCAACTCCTGCCAGTAGATATAAGTTTTATTCTATTCCATAAAATGAGCGTGTTTACTTGGTTGAATTGTCTAATTGTGAAATATTGATGATAAATTAAAGACGTAATCTATAATGTTTCCGAAATGTTTCATTTATCATTATTAAACTGTGTTTTTACGTACTTAGAGATAAGTTATTTTAAAATAGCTGCTTCTTAATGAAATAGGCAACTTTGTGAATTTAATGCTGTTAAAATTGAATTATCAATAATTTATCGTGGAATTTTTTTGTTCTCTAATTGTTTTCCTTATTTTGTACGCACAAGTGGTCTCAGAAAAAAATAATTGGTCTATTAAAATTATCATACAAATGCATTTTTATCATTACAATGTAATTCTGCATATCGATACGAGTTTTTGTACTAAATAATAAAATGTTTTTACATTTCAGATAAAAAGCGTTGGGCCAAAATTGGTACCGTTCTTTAAAAGCGTGTCTGTATATTTTGTATTACTTGCTGAACAGCCATCTCTATTAACGGCGTGTTTTAAATGTTTACCAATAATAAGTCTTATTATTTTTGTTCTGTTGCACGGAATTAATTTATCTAAAGAGTAAGTAAAGAGTGCTTTTATAGATTAACGATGAGCTGGATGATTTTATTTCGCGGTAATCTTTTTGCTTCAGCGTTGCTAACGTAATACTCATCTCTTTGCAGATATGCCTTCTCCAGGCGTATATTAACGGGATTAGTGTTTAGTTGCATAGGTGACGCACTATTAGTGTGGCCTAATTGCTTCACTGCAGGGATGTGTATGTTTGCTATTGCGCAAATTATGTATATATTTGCATTTGGATTCAAACCCCTTAATTTAACACTCGGAGTAATACTGTATACGTCTTGTTCAATTGGTAAGATTTACGAATACGACTATTGCGAATGTGTGTCTTTAACCGATTAGATGTTAATTTTCATTGATCGCTATTTATCATTAA